AGCAAGATACATCTTTATAGAATATACCTACCAAAACAGCCCAGTTGTTTGTATGGCCACTTCTAAAAAATTGTTCTGCTTGATCCTGTCGGTCAAATAAAAGCAAAATGATTAAGAAAAAGCCACAATTTCCCAAAATAAAAACAAAGGACAATTAAGAGTCACATAAATTAAGATTCGTGTAAGTGTATGAAGATACTAGTATTTGACCTTGTGAACAAATAATCAAACTTAAACTGGAAAGCAGTTTAAGATATAATATTGTAAAAAAAAAAAAGCCCTGAACTAGAAAATCAGAGGTGTAGGTTTCCATCTTTAACCATGAGACCATGATTAAACACAGTAACCCTCACTGAGGTGCGGTACAGTACTTGCTCAGTGGTATGGTGCTTGCCTAGCATGCACCAGGCCCTGGACTGGGACAGGGGGCTTAACTTGCTCAAGACTCTTTCTGTGCAAAATGAAAGCAATGCCAGCCCCACATCACAGTGTCATTTTACAGGTCCAAAAAGATATGTGAGGAAGAGATTCAGCTTTAAAAATTACTAAGCATTATACAAATGAAAGCATAGTATATAGATCACATTTCACTATTTCCTATACCTTGAGAACTACTGAGGAAGTAAAAAGTGTGCTGTTTGGAAGCTTAACAGGCCATCAGTTAAAACCATTATCTTACCCACCATTTGCCTCACCATCATTTATTTTCTCCACTGTCTATCATCCTCACATTATATATCATTAACTTATGATGTATGTCATTGTCTCGTCCAATGGGATACAAGCTTCACTAAGACGGAGCCATGCCCCCAGTTACATTGACTAATGTACTCCAAGTTTAGCACAAAATGGATTTTGAGTATTTTTTAATGAATGAATACATGGTTCCAATGTTGCTATCTCTTGAAGAACTGAAACCACATGGATGACAGGTTCAGAATAAAAAGGTACTAAGTAAAGGTTTTAACATAAAGCTGTAAATTTCACAATTTCCTTCTAGATTGTAGCAATCACTTCCTGCAATGAGAAAGTAAGATGACAATGTTCATACCAAGAACCTCTCAGAATTAATACTTCACTTTTTGTGAAATACTATCATAAAGATGGTTTTTATCCCCATGAAATAAGACTGCTGGCTTCGACCAAAACAACTCTTGAATTTCTCACAGAAGACTTTTTTTTTTCAGGGGGCGTTTACCGGGGATCAAACTCAGGACCTTACACTTGAGAGGCAGGCAGTGGCACCACTAAGCTAAATCCCCAGCCCTCACAGAAATCATTTTAATCCTTTAATAATCATTGCTGTTGGTTTTCTAAAGTCTTTGCAATTATGCCAACTCACTCTTAATATTAAACATTAATAATCAGACAAATGTGCTGAAGCAGCCATAAAAACCACTGAATTTTTTTGTTTTTGCTGGGCAATATTACTGGAGGGCTGTTTGTTTGTAAACATTTTATCTCAAATGCAGCCAAGTCTTGCATATGCTTCTCATTTTCAATTCAGTCTTAAAATTGTGAATGACTTATTTCATGTCATGATTCCCTGCATAAAAATTCACGTTTTCCTGTTAAAATTTCATTCAGTGTCCCCATTTCTGCTATATGTTGGCTGCTTTCTTGAACTCAATTCTATATCTGATTGAACATATTCTCTAGCACACTGCCATGTACCATTTCAGAAATCTCTTACAGTAAGTCTGGATTATATATGTCATTTCCAGACATTAAAAACTTCATCATCCAACACCATCTTGACACCTGGTAAACATGTTTTTAAGTATATATCAAAGTAATAACAGATCTAAACCACAATGATCTCAGATCTGGTACCAAACAATATTAATTACTAGAACAGTCAGAATGCCTGGACTCAAATCTGGCTCTATTACTCAGTAGCTAAATAAACTTATGAAAGTTGCTAACTTCGCTATGCTTCCATTTCCCTATCTATAAAACAGTAACAATACTATCTGACTCACAGAATCCAGGAATAGTGATTTCCTAACAATCGCACAACTGTTTTAATTTTCTGCCTCACAAGAAAATTTCAAGAAGTATGAAAAATTTTTCTACTCAAATATGTATCTCCCTCCCCCTCAAACAATTCTCAGTAGCTGCCTAGATATCAACGAAAGAAACATGCTATAGTGAGTCAAGTGCGGATTTGGGAATTTGAAGACTTGAGCTGGGGTAAGTCACTTAGCTCTTTAGATTTGCCTTTTCATGTAGAAAAATGAGTCTTGACCCAAATAATCTCCAATATATTTCCCAGCAAAAGTCCAATATCAATAAGACTTCACTGAAAAATTTGAGATGGTAAAACTCTTCTGCTAGAAAACACAGTCACTGTAAAGTTATTCATCTTCATATAGTTAATGGATCATCTATTATGGGTCAGTTACCGTTACACCAGTGAGAGAGAACCAACCAGAGACCGATATTAAATCCACACAGGAGTTTATTACCGGCCGGGACCCGAGCCGAGCATCGGACTCGAGCCCCGACTGGCGGGAGACGAACATGTTTTATACACGTTTGAGGCCAACAGTTTCTAGGACACCCTATGGGATAGAACTAGTAAAGCAAGCAAAATGTACAGAAGCAGAACGTCCTGCTATTAGAACATCTGTGAAACAACAGTTGATTAATTGTTATTTCTAAAGAGACTTTCTAAGGGGAGGAAGTTTTTAGGCTTCCTCCTTCTAAGTTCATCTAAAGGGCAGGCAGGTGGGTCAAGCAGCAATACGGAGTCTGTCTTGCTAACTAGGGTCCTTTAGTTACCATGTAATGTACAATGATATGCAAATTCCCCTTTCTCTCAAGAAGGCCAGAGTTTAGTAAATAAGACAAGCATCCAAACACATTATATTACTACATAAAATTCATTAATTCATCATATTCATTAGATATCATGGGGCAGTCACTGCCCTGATTGCTCAAAAGACTAAGATGGGCAAAATTAGTCATAATACTTGCCTTCAAAGAGGTTTCTAGTGGACATACATTAAGCAAATAAGAGCAAAGTATAAATCCTGTAATAGAAATACACCCAATATTTTTTAAAAGTGTAACAGGTGGACCTGAGTAGGATGTTTTCCCTAAAAAACTGGCATGTGGGTTAAGATCCAAAAGATGAAAAAATAAAAGGAAGACAGAGAAAATGTGAGCCAATGGCAGAATTGAGCTGAAAGGTTTGAGAAATGGAAAGAAGTTTAGCATAACTAGACAGTTGAGAGGGTGAGTGAGAGCATTGGAGATGTAGGCAAGGGGCTTTGTGAGTCATAATAAAGAATCTATTCTTTATGTTTTGAGGAACATTAAGGTACATATGAGTGGCATGATCAAGATTTGCATTTTACACAGTTACTCTGGTTGCAACTCTGAGAACAGCTTGGAAAAAATAATGGCTCTAGGCAGACCGGTTGGGGAACTATTACACCTTAAGTGAGAGATAATGGAGTAAAATAGTCAAAGAATACATGGGTTGTAACAAGTTCTCTACTAACTACATATACGAACTACAAAAAGTAAAGGCAAAGGCAAGTGACAGGGAAAGGTTCTACTGAGGTTATGCTTTTATTGCATCTAATAAAGACAGAAGAAACTAGAGGAATAAAGCCTGAAAAAGCACAGCAAGTATGTAACTGCAAAAAACAACAATGGTATCCAAAATGAAGTATGTAGAATAATTCACTAGGATAAAGGAAGAAACCAGCAGGACTTCATGCTCAGGTTTTTTTTTGTTTTTCAACTGACAGCCTGAGGTCCACTGGTCATAGTACTGAAGGTGGTGGAAGGAGGTTTCCAATAAAGAATACTAGCAAAATGGGCAGGAACCAGATCATAATATTTAGACTTTATTCTGTAAGCAATGGAGAAACATTAATAGGATTCAATCAGAATAACCTGGTGAGGCTTATATTTTATGAAGACTAGCATTAATATGAGTATGGAAGCCTAGAGAAAACAACTTAATTCCAACGGTCTAGACAAGAAATGATGTAGGCATGGATTAAACCAGGGGAACTGGAGAAATAAAAGCATTTTTAAGAGTCTAGAAGACAGATTCATGATAATCACGATGTGGCATAAAGACACCATGCGGGATAAAGTTTATTTAAACTCCAGATTTCTGGGTTAAAAACAACACTTCTGGATTAGGAAATGAGAGAAGAAAAGAGGTGCTTCATTTTTCTTTCTTTGTTTTTTGAAGAGAGTAATATAAGCAAAAGATAAAACTTCAGAAGCGGATTTCCAAATATCTGCGACTAACTAGGCCTCTTAGCCAGCTGCATATGCAAGTCTGAAAATGATGCTAAAGACCGAAATTACACCACTGACGGAATCACCCGGGCCCAGGGCAGTGAAGGCGTTATAAAGAACCAAAACGTCCTGTGGCCATGTTTACAATGAGAGGGATCATGTCTCAGAAAAGGAGTGGGTTGGGGAAGCCCTGGACAAAACACCGTACCCATCCCACTCCTATCAAAAGACTGCACTGCGATGCACTTTGGTAGGAGAAAAGCAGGTGCTGCACTCCGGGGGTGACATTTCACCTGCTAGGAAGGATTGCACAGGCGTAGAAGCAATGGATCAGGTCCTCCTCGGACTCCGAGGATTTGCTTCTCTTAATTAACAGATCTAAAAGGCTGAAACAGACCGACCCTCTACTAAAGACACCCTTCCCACAGCACGCCCTGAGGCGGGCTGATGACTGCCGGAGGCTTCCCAGTGCATCTGATATCTGCAGGGCCGCTCACAGCCACGACACAGCCGTCCTCCCAGGGCTCAGTCGTCAAAAGAGCCTGACTCCTACCTCGACCTGACTAGCCACGCTGCCGAAAGACAAGAGCAAGAACGCTGCCAGGGTACTCGCGGAGCGGCTGAGAAAATAAGCAGCAGCCATGTTTGCCGGCTTCACGCTTCCGGCAGCTGCAGGGGGCGGAGCGAGTGCCGTAAAGCAGCGCGGTGGGTCGTGGGTGCTTCGTTTTGCGGCGCCGTCTCCGCCTTCTGGAGCCCCGCCCCTCACCAGGTTTTGGAAGCGGGCCCTTGGGTTTGGGTTTCCTGAGTACCTGGGAAAAGGTAGATTGAGAATATTGACTTTATGTCCTTGACCGCGTTTTCAGTTTTTGTATTGTAGAACATTACATATAAGAAAAAACTATTGAAAAATGAGGAGGAAAACCTATGAATGCACGAACTTTAAAAAACTATTTCTCTTTTTGCGTAGTGCTATCAGTTCTTTGAATGTTAAGATGTGGTGGGAAAGATAAACTTTTTGTTACAAAAGATGATAAATTTCGAGAGGAAATATAGGTAGGTGCTGCAACTCAGACTTAAGATCTATTATTAAAAGGATACAAATGGGATAGAAGAGGCAGAAAGACTCGGTGAAGGTCTTTTATTATCCTTGCTGCCTTGTGTGTGCCATGTTGTTTCTCCTCTGTGATCCCTGTTTGCCATCCCTGTCTTGGAGCCAGCTGATTGTGGACTGAAACCTCTATGAACTGTAAGCCAAATAAACCCCTTCTCCTTTAAAAGGATACAAGCACGAAGGAGTTCAATTTTTGTTTCTTCCGTTTATTCTGTAATTTTGGAGCTAAAACCTACCTCAAAGAAAGAATATGTGCATATGTCTCACCATTCTTTCTATATACCCTCAATTTTAAATTCTGCTTTTCATCTAGTATGACATAAATGTTCCCATGCTTCATAATCTTCACAATTTTTAACAATTAGTGGTAACATGAAATTTCATCCATTATTGATGGTTTCAGCCAGAAGCAATTGCCTCTCTACTAAGTAAAGCAAGTCTTCTAAATTTTACTACGAAACAATATTTTGAAGAGTATCCTTGTGTACTTGGTGTATTACATCTCTGGAATTGTTTTCTTTGGATAATTTTCTGGGAAAGAAAATCTTGGGTCAAAAGATTTGATTTTTGGATCATACTCAGGACCTTGGCTTGCAAGGCAGGTGCAGTGGCACTGAGCTAAATCCCGGGCCCTGAAAATATTTTTATAGCTATCCAGATGTTGCTTTCCAAAATGTACAAACTTAGTGTTTTCAGAATATGCAAGCTAACACAAAATTATTCCATTTTCCCCCTTAAATTCCTTGACATAAAAATGTTAACCTCAATATTGTCAAACTTGATCACTATCAATATCTGCTGTTTTTACTTGTGTTTCTGAACTATGTCTTCTGACATGAATTTTCTATTTATATCTTCATGTTATATTCATGATATATTTGCATCAGTTATTGTTAATATGTAGGACATTTTGTGTCTGTTTATTAGTCTAATAAGGATGATTTTATTACTTTAATATTGAAATTTATTAAAACCTTTTATCTAATGTTTTCCCTTTTCTAATTTTAAAATAATAGCTGTGAATTATCTTTTGTGTCTATTCCTTTATAGCATTATTTCTTGTATTTCTTTTTCATAGCTTATGTTATGACTCAATATTAATAATGTTGGTGGCAGCAACTTTTTAATATTATTTTTGTCTTATAATTAATGGTTTAGCACCTTTCCATCAGTCTATCTTTAGCTCTCAGATCAGAATACCCATTGGAATGTTGAAGTAGATTTCTATTCATCTTTGTTTTTACATTGTACCACTGGTTTGTCAAGTACAGGCTACAGGTAGCTTCGTACCTAAATAAAAGACCCTTCATTCCTAATTAAAGAACACATGTTGAAATATGATATAGCATTGCTTCTAATTTGCTTAGTCGGACCTGTTAACTATAGTCTGTGTTTAGACTAGAATTCCATTCCTTGTTCATTAAATTGTAAACTTTTTCAAGTAAGTCAATTAATTAAGACTAACCTTGGCAACTAAAGAGAAAGCAAGTATTTGATCAGAATTACACAAACCCACACATCTCTGGCTTCTTTCATAAAACTTTAAATAGATGACCCTCCCATTAAGTCACACCACAAAGTATTCATGATGTTCTTAAAATTGTACTTCAAATGATTCTACAATGAATCTCACTGACGCCAGGATCAATCTGTTTATTCTTGCCACCTCCTCTTACCTTTAATGCTTCCATATCTTCTTTTTCCTTTGATTCTCTGTCTTCCTTTCAATACAATTATGTTCTTCCATGACTGTGTTACTCATTCGCTCAACTGATACTTATTAAGCATCAGCTGTGTACCAGACACTGTCCTAGACACAGGCAACACAAGGGAGACCAAACAATTGAGCAAATTCCTGGCCACACAGATTTCACAGTTCAGTGGAGCCAGATGCTAATAGTAGGAGCATTTAAACAAATGTAAAAGCCAAACAAGAGAATTTCTACTGAGGCAATCCAGCCATTTAAGAAAAGCCAACGTAGGTTTCCCTGAGGAAATGGATTGAGCTGAAGTTAATAAGTTAATAAGTTGAAGATGGAGGAGATGGTAGAGCTGACTGGGCAGAGCAACTACCCTTACAGAAACTGAGGAAGAAAGGACCTTGAATTATTAGAGGAAATTTTAGGATGGCATTGGTCTTGCAGAAGAACAAAAGCAAGACTGCTGTCAGATAAGGTTGAATTGCAGAGCAGCTGCCACGTTCGGGGCTTTGAGGATGAGGTTATGAATTTTATCTGTATCCTAGGAGCACTATAAAAACTTCCAAATGGAAGTAATTATACTGGCTCCAATGAGGTGAATGGGTACAGGCTGAGCAGTTGGGAGATATCACTATAGTCCAGCCAATGGTAACTTAGACCAGAGTATTTAGAGTTGATAAAAATGAAGATATCTAATATAGATTTTTAAAGTTCCAACTGAAAGAACGTGATGCCTGGTTATATTTGGGAAGTAAGAGAGAGAGGACAATTTCAAAGATACCTTTCAGGTATCTGGCCTATACAACTGAATGCAAAAAAGTGCATTTTTTTAAAACAGGAACCACAGGAAATGGATCAGGGTTATGAATTATATATAAGTAAAATCTGGTCTATTTACCCAGAGCAATTTTGAAGAAACACTCACATAAACCTACTATAAATACTTTTATGACCACTAAATACATGTTACAAAATAAAATGAGTGGAAAGAATAAATTCAATCAGGATGAAAACAGGACCCCTGAGAGATTTTTCAAGGGCTTTGTACTATATAGTTTACATGGTACAGGCAAGTCCGTTTGCTAAACCAATCAGAAATCAAAGTATATGATTTAAGAATTTCATATCTAGGGCCGGGGATTTAGCTCAGTGGTTCCGGCGCCTGCCTCGCAAGCGCAAGGTCCTGAGTTCGATCCCCGGTACCAAAAAAAAAAAAAAAAAGAATTTCATATCTAGCAGCCAAAATATTTCTTTGGACATGATTAAATTCAATAAAAGCAAATTAAATATGTAATAAAAAGCAAGTAGAAAAAATAAAATAACACAGGAGCTTTTATTCCACTGTATTTGTATCATGCCATAGTTCTGATTTTGATATTGGACTCCCTTAAACTCCATTTTAACTTGGCCTGAAATACTTCCCTCCTTTCAGAGGGCCATTTAACAATAGTAGTTATTCCGCTGTAATCCATTTCCACCTTATGACCTTTTAATTAGCTTCAGACTAACCCATAATAAATTTGCTTCAATGCAAAAGTAGAACAACTACCCCCGAAAGTCTCACTGTGAATTCTGTGCTGTGATTAAAATGCCATAATGACCTGAACATAAAGTCGTGTCAAATGCTTACACAATTCAAAGTCTGCTGGCTCAGTGTAGTTCTCCCATGTCAATCAAGAAGCCACTGGTTGTATTGATGCAAAGCCATTTGATAGAGTTACTTCTCGATGAGCTGTGAATTTGCTACAAGTGCAACTGATTTTACTTAATTAATTTTGATGCGGCTGGACATTGAGTATGTCCATTAAAGATCTTGTGAGATTCTCTGAAACCTCGGGGACATTTAATAGATATTTTAACTACACTATGTGTTATAAAGTGGCATGTCCTGAAAGACTTCTCTTAGGAAGATACTGGCGTGGTGTAGGGAAGGGGCACAGGAGATACGTATCTTTTATAGAAAATTGCTAAAAGGACTTTATTGACAGAATAATGGCTCTCTAAAGATCTTTATGTCCTTACGCATAGAATTTTTTCCTGGGTTACATGGTAAAAGGGACTTTGCCAATGCGATTAAATGAAGGAGTTCAGGATGGGGAGATTGATTATATTGAACTGTGTGGCTGGACCCAGTGGAATCACAGGGGCCCGGAAAAGAGAAGGACAAGGAGGTCAAAGAAGAGATATGAAGAAGGAAACGATGGTCCAGGCTGAAGGGCCATAAGCCCAGGAATGTGGGTCGAAGAGCTGCAGAAAGCAAGGAAGATGATTCGCCCCTGGAGCCTCCAGAAGGAGTGCAGCTCTGCCAACCCATTTTGGACTTCAATCTCCAGAACTATAAAATAATGCATCATTTTATATGAGACCATTAAATCTGTGGTTATTTGTTAAGGCAATGATCGGAAGCTTAAACTTTTAACAGTGGTCACCCTCTGGAGACTTGAGAATGAAGGCTGGAGTGTAAGAGGACTTCCGCTCTCCATCCTTCAGTATTACTTCAAGCTTTTTGTTTTATCATAGGTTTATATTTCTTCTTTGATAGAAACAAATGATTATAAAAGTAGGACTAGATAATTTAAGTGAGAAAATGATAGAAAATTGTGCAGAGGGTAATATCTCAACTGTGAAAAAAGTAAGGAAGAAGCTTACTGAAATGTTACCAGCTTTTACTTGAGAACCGAGACCTCCTCAGTTCTCAGTATGGGCTTTGTATTTTCCTTTAGACTCTCAGTCACTCAAGTTATTCATGGCTCCTGTATTCTGGGCAAGTGAATGAGTTGGAAACTGGGAACACAGTGAGTATTAAGTCCCTATCCCTTCTCTCAAGGAACTTATATAGGGTAGGGAAGGCAGATATTAAATAGATATTTACACAAATTATTAATAAATTATATTTTGACAAGTTCAACAAAGGAGAAGTGCAGGGTGACCTCCTTATTACCAGGGCAGCCTAACCTAGTCAATAAATACTTTCTAGTGAACTTCACTTAGAACTAAAGGATAAATGGGAATTTGCCAGCCAGAGACAGGAAATAAAATTTTCTGCAAAGAGCATGTATCACTTTTTATCACAAAATATAAGACAATTAATATTTAAAATTTTTTTTTAAAAAAAGCTACCATTTCTCTTTCCCTTTGTGTCTGGTATCAGCAGCTGCCCAGTGCTGGTAATGGTTTGCCATCTCTGTTGATTTAGGAAAATTCAGCTCACTGCTCAGGCATTCTTGTCTCTCATTCAAATACTTCAGGGAAATGAAATATTTAAGTTAATAAACTGAGCACTAAACAAAAAAATTTAAAATAATATAATAGTTACATAGCCTCCTTGCCCAGAGCTGACATTAGGAAATTATTAGATTTATGACCTTCTGGTAGTCAGTCTATCAAAAAGAGCTTGTGAAATGCACTTAATGTTGCCCTAAGGGAAACAAGATCCCACTTCTGTGCAAGTTGAAGTTCTGTTTTTATGGGATCAAAATTAAAGAACAACACAACTGAAGAAACAAAGGATGAGAACTATTTTGAAATCAACACAAAAGTTGTCAGTAATGGAAATTTTTTCAAAGGAATTTTATAAATGAAATAATTATCACTGAATACTAAAAAGGACTCCAGACATCTTAACATCTGAATCTTTGTTTAGAATTCCCAGATGAGTAGTAATTTTCCGTACTGCAATTTGCTATTACCTTTGGGGAGAATAATATTTCTATAATAAATACACATTAGTGGTTTTTGTAGTTAATAATTATCCTCTGTAGTTAAACCAAATGAAAAAATAGCCTACTAATAAACAGCCTGCCCTCAAAAATCACTAAGTAAAATGCTATCAATTTCATTTTTTTAAAATGGAGGCAAATATTAGAGTGACACAATGGCAGATCAAAGAACGCCAGAGATTGTCAGAAGCCACCAATGGCTGGGGATTTGGTCCTGAAGATGAAACCCAGGGCTTCATACATCCTAGGCAAGCTCTCAACTGCTCATTAGCATGCTAGCCTCTTTTTATAAAGCTGGCCAGTGTGTAATACTTTGTTACAGTCGCCCTGTAAAACTAATATGGACTGTAACAGGTATTTTCATAACAAACCAGTATTTTCAGTATGTATTATACCATTTGCATTCCGTATTCCTCCACTTCAACTTTTTATTGGTAGAAATAGAAATCTGCAGAGAAAATAGTTGGCTTTGTGATATTTCTAACAACGAGTGTTTGTTCATTCAACAAACATTTGAGCACAGAATCAGGACGATTCTACCCACAAGTAACAGAAAACCCTTCTAAAAGCAATTAAGCCACAAGAATATTTAATTACCTGGCAATATTAGCAGTCCACTAAAAGGTGGTTTCAAGGTTGTTGTGCAACTCTGAATTCATCAAAGTCCAAGCTCCACCATCTCAGAATATTTTCCTTGAGAATCTGATTTGTATTGTCATTGCAGCAAGATGGCTGCTTAAACACTAATTATACCCCTGCCTTTTATCAGGGAGTCCCATCTTAGTAGCCTCCCAGCAGGTGTCCATTTGTATTTGTGCAGAACTTGTTCTCATGCCCATTCCAGACTAATCACCGATGAAGGGTACAGTTAGGAATACTTTTGAATATGTTTTCACATGCTTGTTGTTCAACATTCCTGGCCATGGAAGAAGTGCAAATTAAAACAATGCTAAGATTCCACCTTACACCAGAGAGAATAGCAATCATCAAGAAATCAAAAAATAACAAATGCTAGTGACACTGCAATGAAAAAGGAACACTTCTCACTGTTAGTGGGAATGTAAAGTAGTATAACCATTACAAAAATCAGTATAGAAAGTCCTCAAAGAACTAAAATTAGAAATTACATATGACCCAGCTATTTTCCTTCTAGGTATCTTCCCCAAAGAACTAAAGATATTATACTATAGCAACATATGCATACCAATGTATATAGCAGCACAATTCGTAATAGCTAAATCCTGGAAGCAGCCTGTATACTCACCGACAGGCAATTGGATAAAGAAAATGTGGTCTCTCTATATAATGGAATACTACTCAGCTAAAAGGAAGGACAAATTTGAGACATCTGTAGGAAGATGGATGCACCTGGAAAATACAATGTTGAGTGATAATCAGACACAAAAGTTTAAATACCATGTAGTATCTCTTATTGAGTAAGGCAAAGTACAAAGAACGCAACAAAAGGTGGACAGAAAGAGATGGATCTCTTGCAGATGGGAAGAAGTCCAAGAAAACATGGATGACAGGAGAGGGAGAGAAAAAATAAGTAGAATAAAGACATGCTATCCATAAGACTCGAATAGCCTCGATGAATGTAAACATTTTATGTCATAAAAATGAGATAAGTTTCATAATATCAACAAGAACAAAAATGAGGGGAAGTAATTTAGAGGAGGAAAGAAAGAAGGCAGGAGGGAAGAAGATGGGGATTAAAAATTAAAAGAACTGAGCTAGTATGTACATGTGCCACTCCCCAAGATGATTGTAAACTGCATGTATTGCGACAGATAATAATAAAGATTTTGGACTTCCTCTTTGTATATTACCTGCTTATACGCTACTCTTTTTTAAGTTATATTTTTTATTCTTACCATTTTTATTTGCTGGAGTGCCTTACAAAGTCTAGATATTGAATTCTTTGTTCGTTTTAGACATTTCAAATGTTTTCCCTATTCTGTCATTTGCCTTTCAACTTGCTCCTACTTCACTGAACAAAAATATTTAATGAAATTAAAATGTACATATGTTGTGGACCCAAAATGAATTTTAAATATGATCATGTGTGTAAAACTCTTGGTCACAATGCCAGGTCCAATTACAGGACTTGTCTAGCAGGCTCAAAGCCCTGGACTCAGTTTCCAGCACCACGACACAAAAGCAAAGAGATCTGAACTGATATCTCACCAAAGGATATATGCAGATGGCAAATAAGTACAGTACAGTGGTACCTCGGTTCACGAACACTTTTGTTTGCAAACAAGTTGGTTCACAAACAGAATCATTTGACAAAATTTTTGTTTTTGTTTCCAAACTCAGTATTGGGTGACAAACACAATGAGGGCCATCTTTTCCACACAAACACAAACATGGCCATCTTTTCCAAAATCACAGAACAAATTAAGTTCATGAACTGAGGCACAACTGTATACCAAAAAATGTTTCCCATCGTGTCATTAGAGAAATTCAGAGTAAAACAAGAAGGTGTTACTACACATCCATTAGAATGGCCAAAATCCAAAAAACTGAAAACACCAAATGCTAATGAGGTTGTGGAGCAAGAGAAACTTTCATTGGTTGTTACTGGGAAGGCTAAAATGATATAGCCACTTTAGTGTCAGCTTGTCAGTTTCTTACAAGACTAAACATACTCTCACCATAAAATAATAGCAACTGCACTTATTAGTATTTACCCAAACAAACTGAAAATTCACATCCACTTGAAACTGTGTTACAGCTGAGATGTAAGAGCTTTACTTACAAATGCTAAAATTTAGAAGCAACCAAGATGTCTTTCATAGGGTGAATGAAAGAATAAACTGTGGTACATCCAGACAATGGAATACTACTTAACACTAAAAAGAAATGAGCTAGCAAGCAATAAAATGAAATGGAAGAGCCAAAAATGCATATTACTAAGTGAAAGAAGCCAATGTGCAAGGACAATGTTTTTGTGGGGTTTTTTGCTTCACCTATATAACATTCTGAAAAAGGAAAATCTGTGAAGCCAGTTAATAGATCAGTGGTTAAAAGCTTAGTGGAGAAAGGATTAGAAATTCAGAAGGGAGGAACAGGCCCAGCACTGTTAGGGCAGAGAAACAATTCTGTATGATATTGTTACCAGAACTCCAGTGTTGTGTCCCATGGTGACGAAGAATGAAACTACAGATGGAGGAGGTAGGGTGCAAGCAAATTTATTTAAAAGATATAAAAGCAGGGAAGTAATGCTCCTGCTAGCCAGGAAGGTGTTCTGAGTAAGATACCCATGAGGGCTCTTTGTAGATGAGTTTTTAAAGGGTTTAGGAAAGGAGCTCAGGCCATTCTGTAAACAATATGATCTCTACCCTACAGGAGGCTACATACTTTTTAGGGTCCCATCTATGCAGGGTATACACAGTGTCTATCAGGGCCCATGCACCCTTGAGCCAGTGACTTGTCTGATCATCCTCTGGGGAGATCCCACCAAAGGACACCTGGCAGATGTTTCTGTAAGATCCCTGGAGGGCCGTGACTCAACAGACTCCCTTTTGGGCTTCCTGACTGCATTTTGGGCCCATTGTCTTTACTGCCTAATAGAATCCTAACTTCTGTCTCACTAATTCCTGTTACAATATTACAGTGGTGAATATCGTAGTGAAATATATTTGTCATAACCCCTAGAAGGGGGCCTGGGATTTAGCTCAGTGATTCTGCCACCTGCCTCGCAAGTGCAAGGTCCCAAGTTCGATCCCTGGTACCAAGAAAAAAAAACCCTAGTATGAATGCCAAAAGTGAACCCCAATGGAACTTATGGATGTTGGAGGATAATAATGTGTGGATGTCCATTTATGAATTGTAAAAAACGCACCACTCCCATGGGGGAGGTTGCACATCTGTAGGGGCAAGAGGAATGTGGCAATTCTGTACTTTCACTCAGTTTTGCTGTGAACCTATTAGTCTAAAAAATAGTCTTATTTAAAAATAAAATACATCAATAAAAAATACAGACTATGTTATTTTCACACAACAATAAACAATTGGCAAGGACAAGACCTAATTCAGGGAATTAATCTGGAACAAAGTAACAAGGAATGTCA